ACATGTTAGCGTGACTACCAGACCGAAATGTCTTCTTGTTTTAAAGGTTATCAAAGAAAAGGGGGTTTGATCAGTTCTAAGCGATAAATTTTTAGTTTCATTCAAAGATATTGATTGTTGATTTTTTTATTTAAATGAAAAAGACAAGCCAAGTTTTGTTTAGTAATAACACAGTAATACTTATTATTTATGACGGTAAACTAAATAGAAATTGATACACCAATAAAGCTCTACCTCCTAGTGATAATTGCTTGTGGACGTAGATAATTAAATAACTATGCAAATCGCTACGAAATGAAAATAACAAAATGTTAAAATAGCTATTTACCTTACAAGTGTAGTAAGAGCGTTTTTACATCATGCAGGAGAATGTTGTGCAACGAGCGGAAGCGAGTTGCATAATTTATCTAAGTGATGTAAACACGCTGTCTTGCGTAACGTGTAACGTACAAGATTTTACCTGACCTGACAATATACAGGGGGTTACGTACAATATTTTTCAATATCCACTTCAATCATCTTCTAAGAGTAATGTTCTTTTACAAACAAAGGCTAGGTTAGGAAAATTCCTTAAAGCATAACATTAAAATTCAAGCGCACAGCTGATATCTAGCGTTAAACGTCGTTGGCTCTATAGAGGTATATTTTTTAAGTTGAGCACTCAATTTTATTGAAATGGGTTTCATTACTTCGCCGAGTGAGTTTTTGAAACTTTACATCGCTCGTGAAGTAAAGAAGTTGTATACATCACGCTTGGGATAGGGAAGTTTAACATGGGTTAGGTAAAAGATCTTTTGATAAGAAACTGTTATAACCCTGGAGTAGCGTCCTTTTGTTATAGTATAATACCATTAATTAATAGCAGACATAAATATGAATTATTGTATTGAAAGAAAAGTTGTTGGAAATGAATAAGTGTTATTATTTAGTCAATGAGTGATTACGTTTGGATTAAGAAACATAAACAATCAATTTCGGGACTTTTAAATCTTTGACAAGTTGGAAGATAAAGTCATCCACGTGTGTCAGTATCAGTCTCTGAACAATATTGACTTAAGTTTGGGGGGGGGGGGAGATGGAAGGAGGGGTCCGGGTCGGGCTTATATTGCTTTCTTATATGCTATAGCACGATTCCTAAAAGGTTAAGGCATGCTTGAGAAAAGTAAACCTGAGAAAAATACATAATAACGTATATTTTTAATTGCATTCATCTCTTATACTTTGAATTTCATAAATATTTTTTCATAATTTATTATCCTTGACAATTATGTACAAAAACTCATAATTTTGAAACAACTTTAAGATAATTTAGTATTATGTAGTCAATATTATCCAGAATAAAAGTAATTTATGACTATTTAACCTATACGTATACCATGTTAATGTTTGTAAATTTATTTTAGGAAGAATAGGTGAAAAACAATAATAAACAGATTGAATATAGTTTTTAGGCTATTATTATCTTTTATTCAGATATATCTTCAGCATAAATAAAAGTATAATCACGTTCAGAATTCAATAAGAAATACTTTTTTTGGTTAGGGTAGTATATGTTATGTTAAAAAAAATACTGCTAAGTATGTAAAAACATTAAATACCAGATCTGGTTAGCATGCCCAAAAGTCAATATTGTTTTACAATATACATATTTTGATGAATGTATGGTATAAACCAATCTATTCTAAACCAAAATTTATAGGAGTCTAAACATGCAACTATGGAATTTGTATAAAATATTAAGAAAGGGCATGAAAATCAAACTATCTTTTACATGGAAGAAGAATACCCCTCCCTTTTCTAACTTCACACCTAATTTTATCACACATAAATACCAATCTCACACTTTAATAACGTTAACTTTGACAAGCATGCTGGAAACACCTCTTCGTCTTTGAAGCTGCAAACAATAAATTAATTGTTACTTAAGTAACAAGACTTCTAACAGAAGCTGCGACAAGATACAATAAAGATCAAAGTAATTAAGCCCTCATCCCCCCTCTCTGTATATTATCGTCTTGTCTCTCTTCCCCTTTCTACTGTTCATACTTCATTTTCTCCTATTTTCTCTACGTACTAGATATTACATACTACATATACATACATCAATTATTTTAATTTGTAAAGTACTAACAAAATCCAAGTTCCACAATATACTGAATGCCTAGGCTTTACCACATTGAAGCTAGTAAGGAATGTCAAATTCTTCAATAGTAGTGCAATTAATGTACATAAAGGCGTAACAATGTTTTTTTAGGAAAATAAGGAGTTAAATAATGTAGACTGTAAAACATTGAATTTTCATCGGTGATATTCAAAAGGTAAGGAACTCGATTTTGAGAAAACGAAAAGCATTATAATATTTTTATTGTTTATTGTTGGCACATAGGCCTTTGGAATTGGATTTTAATAAATAGTTTATTAAAAAACTAGGCCGTAAAAATATAATAGTATAAAAATAAAATATATTAGTCTGCATCTAAAGTACAAAGAAAATATATTTCCTTTTTACACTCGCCAAATACATAATAGCACTGCCACCTTAATGAAATGGTTAAGTAATTATTTGTATCAGTTCTTAGTCTTAATCATAATAGAATAAAAAATCACATTGGTTTACAAACTGAATATAATTTGAACTGTAAATTTAAAGTACATTCCAATAAGGTAGGCCTAACCATTGGATCGTGGCATTATTATTGGATAGTCATTGTATGGTAGTTTTACACAAGTACTTTGTAATTAAATATTAATGCTCTAATTACTACAATATAATAGTAGTATGATTGATCCCTATTCTAACTCATGTTTGGTTCCGAAATCATGCATGATCAGTTCCCTTCCACTCTGTTATTTAGGCTCAAACTGCCATACACATTGTCAGCCGTCAAATTTGATCTGAATTGCTGCCAGCGTGCCTTGTTTCCTATGTACCATTGCTGCATTTTTCTCTTTGCTTGCCATATTTTCTATGTAAAATTAAATATTGACAATAATAAATGTATATGTCAAATCATATGAAAAACTAGCAGCTAGCACTGCCTTGTCATGGGGTTAGTATGCAAAAGAGACAATGTTGCTTCTTTGAAAATGCCTTAAAATGGTTTCACTACTACCACTGAAATTAGAAACGAATTGAACTGTATTGCTTAACTTGATAATAGTACGTTTTTATTAACTAAGACTGTGAAAAGTTATTTAGGCTACATAGGATAAAAAATCAAGGATAGATTTTAAGGTACAATCAAATAACGTGTTGAATGGTTTGTATTGTAAACAAATATCCATCACAATACTTCCAAACCTTTCAAATCTGTGTTGTGTTAGTTCAATTTTCTAACATTATTTAGTGAAATTATAATCAGGCAAATGGAAATTCAAATAGTCTGCAGATTTGATGTGACAGGGGCTCTTAATTACTGTTTACCCAAATGTATATCTTAAAAAAATTGTCTTGTATGTGTCCTCAGAGCATTTGCTTTATTTTTGTCCAATTTCAGCCCAGTCGGTTCAGTAGTTTTTGAGTTTATCTTATACAAACCCACACACAAACAGACAGACACTACCTCTTCTTTATAATAGTATAGATATATAGAAGATAGATGGATAGATAGATACAATGAAATTTGGTTAAAATCATTACATAAACATTTTAGGTGTAGTTGTAGATTATGTTTTCTTTTACAATCCTTTGGAAAAGTTTGACAAAATATTGCTCAACGATATATTACATTAATTTAAGAGGCCTGTTTTAAAATTATTGAGCATTCAAATCCATCACAATAGAGTTGTGGGACATAATATAAAGATTCCGTTAAAACATACAATCCAAAGCTTACTGCTTTAACCGGTTATTTTGATAAAATAAAATACGTAATTTGCAGGCCTACGGTCGATATTCAACCCTTGACCACAAAACTGATTGTAAAAACTTACTTTCTTTTGTTGCTATTGAACACTGTTTAGGTTTTTATATATTGAATTACAGAAACATCAAGTTATGCTACCAATATTTGTCAACTCTAAAGGCTTTCTTACAAATATCCACTATGGACAATATGGATGTTTTGACAGCGTTTTTTATCCTACAGTGTTGTCCCATCTTTGGGAAATGATTTCTAATACCAGTATTAATTTAACATTCATCTTACTCAAAGTTTACAGTTTTAATACATTTATCTGTTTGTAATATTAATAACAACTTATTTGTACGAAATTGTGCAAGTTAACAAACTATGGTTCGATATTACGATAAGCGTCTAGATTATATAGTTAAGGTTTTTAAGAATAAACTTTTCTTTGATTAAAAGTTAAATATACAGGAAAAGAATACCTATACTCTGTGTAATATGAAAGTTTTATTTGTCCGGCAGGACCTGTTTCGCTGGACACGGGAGAGATTTAAGGCTCGTTTGCTGTCGAGTCCAAACAATACTTCGTTTCACTCTTTGTTTCCCAGCGATGCTGGGTTCTGAGGTAGGGGGTACAACAAGCTTATACTTACATAAAGGCATTTTACTTCACAAGTAAAATAGAAACTATGTAAATAATGAAAAATCATTTTACAAATTAATTGTTTTAAGTGGTGTATTAACGTTAATTTATGCAATCAATGACTTATTGTCAAATGAGTACTATAATAAATTCTCACTACGTTATATAAAAAAATGTTTCGTAGTTTGAAAAGTGTCAGTGGCCTTTTACATTTTTCTCATGCTTAAACAAACTAACATAAGTTTTCGTTTACAGGGTGTCAAAAAAACCGACTCAGCATTTTAGGATATGATTCCTTATCCCAGAGACAGAAAAAAGGTTATGTTTATTTAAAGTTAAAGTGTTAAGTAAGTGTGTGTGTGTGTTAAGTAAAGTGTTGATATGTTATTATTTATTTAGGAATGAGGAATTATATCCCAAATTCCTGAATCATTTTTTACACATTTTTCACGAAAACCAATTTTAGCGTAAGCATGAGGAAAGTAAAAAAATATTAATGATTTACTTACAGAAAGAAACCAGCTCCTCGGCTTCAACTGAAACAAAAATATGTGTTTTTCATTAAATTAAATTTTTTTTTATTCATAGTAGTTTTATGTAGGGATGGATAAAGGGTTTAAAGGCTTAGATTGATACACATATTAAAAAACATTTTTTTACACTTTACCACCGTCTTTAACCACTGGTAAACATGCATTGTATTAAAAATATATCCAATTACTTTTCTCTTAAAAGTAAATTAAAGAAAATTCTCTCTGTGAGATCACCCATAAAAATTAATAAATATTTCCATTAGTAGTGTGTTACAAACTTGGATAACCATAAAACTAAGTATATACGCTTGATTGTATAGATAGTATAACACATAAGTAGTATTATATAATGTGCAAAGCAGTAAGGCTCACACTATAGGTGTGGTTGTGGGGTCAGGACTTACGTCGATAAGCTCTTTTGTGATTTGACAGCATGTCAAAATAACCATAATATCCAACCCGTCACTACATCCTGGTTATTTTCATAACTAGAGACGGGAATCTACAACTTAAATTCTGCGCGATGACAGAATTTTCAGTAGTAAGCAATTACTTTTCACTATCGATATGCGCAACAACAAAATTAAAAATGTCGGTAAATAAATACGAACAATTTTCAATATTATTAGGAAGCACGTGACAATTACTGTAACTGACAATGGGAGGAAAAGGAGGCTGGGGAAGGAAAATTGAGGGGAGGGGATGTCGAAGCCTCCCTTGTTTATGGGGAAACGCCTTCACGTAGAGTTGATCTGGGCCACTATGCTGCTCCAAGAGAAATCATTTATTTTGTTTACTGCGACCCGAGGCGCTGGAAAATACATATCTTGAGATAAATAAACAAACTGAAGAAGAAAAATGTTATGGAACAATAAATCAGTTTCTTCAATTGTTTTTGCATTACTTAACCAGTTTTATAAGAGCATGATGACATTGTATAATCATTGACTGTACTAAGTTGATTGAGTCAAAATGAACTTACAAAAATATTTTAACTAGTTCTTTAGTTAAATTAAATACGGTAGCAGAACAAATTCAACTATAAAAAGTAATTTGACTGTAATTACACTAGTGGTATTGAAGTGTAAGTGTTACCCTAAATTGTACCAAATATCGTACGATGGTTATTATTGAAAAATGTTTAACAATAACGGTGGTTTTTTATTTAAGCTGGTTTTTCGTCACTGTTCTGTTCTTTTATGAGTATCCAATGAAAATTAACAAAATGTACTTTTCTTGTTTTAGAACGGATTTGAGATAGAAGCTATTTATAGAGTGGGATAATATTGTATAATAATATAATTATATTATAATAATATTATAATAATATAAGTAGTTTAAAATTATTAAGTAACTGTTGATTATCAAAAACAAAATCAATGTTTACATTGGTTTATTTACTTTGTTTGCATTTACAAAAAACATTGTACATGTTATTCTGTACCACGCAAGATTAAAAAATACAAAATATATTTGTGAAACAGATCCAGGTGTACAATTAATTTTTAACGGGGTTCGAAACAGTTATCAATGCAGATTCAAAGATTCGAGTTATTTTTCTTTTGAGACTTGCCACCCTGTTGAGGTCCAAAGAATAAAAACAAGTTTTGAATATTATTTTACAGCGTTTATACTAAAGTAGGTGATTACCAAATGCCAAAAATATACTCTTGAGCTTCAAAAAAAGACATAGATAATACTTGAACAGCATTACTGATGCAAACCAAGAGGAAAAGGCTAATTAAATAGCAACATTATATTTAAGGCAAAACCTTTTCCCAATTACAATATTTACTAATAATACCTTTGTTGTCTTACAAGAACAACACATTTCCATACAGCATGAGTCCAAATGAGAGTAGAGAGGATGAAACTTGTAAGAGGTAATTGTACATCTTGGAAGGGCTTGTGGGTCTTAAGAGGACATTTTCTCTCTTGTGGCACGTTTCTTCTTTCTATTAAACACTTTTTCGAAAGACAATCCAAAAGTAAGAAAAATTCTTTCATTTCAACATTATTTCAATTATATTAAGATTATATCATTTATCTCAAACAAAACAAAATATTGAATTATAATGTATTATCAATTCAACACAAAAAATAATACAAAAATTTAATATATTCTATTATGCACTAAAACCTAACTATTTTCAGCCGGAAATTATGTATACCATAACTAAAATAAGGTTAAGCATTGAACTTAAATTGGGCTATAACAAATTTTCATTGTTTGTAGTGCATGTGTAAATTTCATATTGTTTGATCTGCATAAAGGATCATTTTGTAAGCCAATTTTCTAATATACGATAGCTTTTATTTGGAATAGTGTGAGTGACTCATAGAAATCAAGTAAATTCTTCATCTGTGTTTCAAATTTTACAGCTGGTTTGGTTGTGCAGGTGACGTGGGTCAGTGTTAACTATTAGTATTCATTTTATCGAAACTGATTAGTCTAATTCATATACATGTTAACGTTTTTAAGTAACACAGACTTGATAAAACTGAACTATAAGTCTGACACACATCAACCACACACTTTAATGTTGATCTGATGAGAAATAACAGTTTTTTATAACCCCTCTCTCTTAATCTATTGATACAACTGGACAAATGTTTACCTTTAGCATGTAATATCCAATGTCACTAATCTCAATATAATCTGATAACATTATAAATCTTAAATTGTTTATATCAGCTGATTTTTTAAATTTTTGTTATGGTCGCTTTAAATATATGTCCTTGGGTTGACCTTTTGAAGCTTTTTAAAGATTTTCTAACCAATATAATTATTTGTATATGTCATTGGTAACCCTTTTATTAAAAAACGAGCGTTTCTACACGTTTTTACTTACTTAGTTTAACAAAATCTCTCAATTGAATTTCAAGTACTTGTGTAAGTTTTGATCAAAGAATCATTGTTAGATGCTGCCTTGCTTCATTAAATTAAGAGGATCTTCGAGCTCATTCTTATCATGCAAGTAAACAGGAGGACATTTATCTACTGGGTTAACTGTTTACTTCGGGAGTAACTCCCGGATAAAGAATCTTCCCTTCATCTTTCCTTAATGTAAGTGTACAACAAGTTAGAAACTACATACTTGGAATATATGTACATACAAAAATACACTTAAAAGTGTATAGGAAAGGTGTTTGAAAACGCTGATGCAATTATTAACATAGATGAATGGCTAAAACAAATAATCCATTCAAAGTTAAATTTCGTGCCATATTCTTTTTAATATAAATATTAATTTAGGTAGTACATTGAGTCTCCGACAAACAAGCTAATGTAGGTTGCCACTTTCTGTCGAAAACGTCAATCTTCAATGAATTTGTGGATAATTTATTGTAAACTGTTACATAATCTTTTATGTCTCATAATCTACCAGAATAACAATTTATTGGAAGAAAGTGTGTGTACTTAAATCTTAGCACACTTTCTAAGTGGCTTATTCGAAAATGTATCTTTTAATAACAACAGTAGCTCCTGTTAGTTCTTATAAATAGGATGCCCACTTCAGAGACCAAAAGTAAATGGATTGACCCCTATAAGGTTGGTGGAATGAAATGTTATCTTTAGAGGTGACATTTTTGTATAGTCGGTTACCGTTGCTAAAATTGGTCAACACGTACGACATTTAACTGTCGTAATTATTTGCCAAAGCAAATTCTGTGTAACTGTGCAATTGTCAATCAGCGGGAAGGCTAGAATGCATTATGTACTAAAATGCATAGTTTCTGTTGGCTTGTGGATTGTACCAGAACATCTTTACGGTCCATTCATCAACGCCTGCAACATTAACAGAGTACTGAACAATGAGGTCTAGAATATTACCTCTAAATTCTTAGGAGGGGTTATGTAGCTGCGGACGTTATTAATAGACTAAACAACAAACTGTTTTGTTAGAAAAATGTACGTACCTCTGGAATATTTCTTGTAAACTTAAGATTATGTTTTGTTAGGTTAAAACACGTTGGTAAGGAATATGTGTTCTTTTTTCAGTTATAAAAATATTATAAAGTATTAACTACAACAAGGTTTTATGAAATATATATAAAGCATTGGAATAATGGCAAATGCCATTACACATTTTCATGAATTATGACTCATGAACACCAACGCACTGTGAAACAAATTTAAAATATTTGTGGAAATATATTACCAAATGTTAAAAGTAAAATGTGAACAACGGAATGTGACCTAAAATAAAATTTAAATCAGCAGTTAACATAAAAACATTTGAAGGGATTAGATACAAGACCCTATCTTTAATATTTAGGTTTATCTCGATGCTATTGACTGCATACCCCCAACGAGGCTATCCGTGACTTTCGTGGAAAGATAGACCGCCTGGAAGAGAGCGTGCGCGATACCGCCGGGCACGTTGTCGTGGCGGGGGATTTCAATGCTAGGGCTGTCGAGTGGGGAATGACTCTCACTAATTCCCGGGGGAAGTACATCCTGGACTTTGCTGCCAGGGCTGGACTTGTTGTCATAAACGAGGGCAACACGCCAACTTTCCAGCGTCCCGGAATGAGGGGAACGATCCCAGACATCACGCTTGCATCTGAGTCCCTCTTGCCGAGGATACGAGCCTGGAGAGTCCTAGAGGATTATACGGCCAGTGACCACCAGTACATCATTTTTGATGTCATGGATAGTCATCAGAGACAAGCTACCGTGTCTCGGAAGGTGCCCGTTCGGTGGAACACCAAAAAGCTGGACGTGGCCAAATTCACCGAAGTCATACTACGGGGAGAGCCAGTGGTACCTGCTGCATCTGGCGTGGCTCACGCAGAGACATCAGTTACATCATTGATGAGGCTGATAGTCTCGGCCTGCGAAGAGTCAATGCCTTGCAGGAGATCCCGGTGCGATAAGCGACCTGTGTACTGGTGGACAACCGAGATCGCAGAACTGCGACGGGCAGCATTGAGAGCCAGACGTCTTGCTACCAGGGCCAGAGAACCTGAAGATAGACGTCTTAAGTCTGACGCTT